AGAGTACACTTTTATATATAGTACCCACATATAGCAACATCTGAGATTGTGTTGCTATGTGCATGGGTATGTCGCCTCACATTTTTATGGTTTAACAATAATGTAATTACTTTTAGTTTACATATTTAATTGCGTATATTAAATATATTTCTACAATTTTCTAATTATACTTTCTTATTATATTTCTCATTAAAATATAAATATAATATTATATTTCTTATTATATTTTTTAAAAGTGAGACATTTTCTTCTATTACACTCAAAAATATTTTCTCTTCTCTCTGAATGTACATTTACATTGAAAACATTATATTTAATATTAAAGCGACACAATAGTACCTAATAAATACAGATATATAATTGGAGTACGGACAAGAGCTTCACAAGCTCTTGCTCGTGTTCTTAGAAACATTTCTTATTTGTACTCTATATACATCCTGCTGGAAGAAAAAAATCGCTAAAAAGTCGCTGAAAATTTTCTCTAAAAATGTAATGCAATTGAAATCGTTTTTAGAGAATTTTTATAAAAATATGTTTCAAAATTTCTGTAAATCTTTACAAAATCTCTGAAAGTCGAACGGTAAAACCTAAAAAATGTTTATGCTTATACAATTTGCACCAACGGTTTTCTTTAATTTTATTAATATTGTTAAAGTTTTTATAATTTCGATGAATTTTACCGCTTCTTTGCTATTTTTGCTAAATTAATTTTACTCATTTTCAAGAAATTTTACTGAACATTATCAACAATTACATTAATTATATATTTAATTATTACCTTATAGAAATTATTTTCCTTTTTTTAATTTCTCTAAAAATACAACGTTTTTGCTAATTTGAAGAAAATTTTGCTTATTTTTCTGAAATCATAGTTTTAGTAAAATATTAGAAAAATTTGCCAAGAAAATATCCAAGGTGATGTGTAAAAATAGCGATTCTCATCAATTAAAAATAATCAATTTTAAAGTAAATCTTTCTTATGAATTTCAAATTGATTCAATTTAAATTGATATCAATCATGTTCAATATATTTTTTATTACAATAGATTGATAGAAATAATTAAATATGATTGATAGCGATTTATTTTAACAAAAGTTAATCGATTTAAAAAGCAACTATATATATTAAGATTTAGTTTAGAAGTATATTTCCTATTGATTGAAATTACTCATTTCTATACCAAGGTTGTTAGTATAAGTTTTCTTATGTTACATAATTTTAGGAAAAAAATAAAACTTCAAAATTACGAGAAACTGCCAAAAAAACAGTAGAAAACAACATTGTGGGAGCACTGAATATTAAGACAGATAAATTTCAAGATGTAAGTATAATAAGTGTTATTAATTCAAATTGAATACATTATCAGAGTTATTATTTTCATACAAACATATTATGTGGTTAGAAGGAAATTGCGAACACTTGGAAATAATTGAGTGACTGGCAACGAACGGTAAACCTTTACTCCGTTTTCATTTTAGAGAAGATTTCAGTCGTTCTTTTTTTTTTTACGAAGATTTGGTTCCGGGGAACGTTTATTGCTGTACCTGTCATCACGTATACATATATATGTACTATAGCAGGTCTCTAAATGTGTAATAGAAAGATCAACTCTTTTATGATTAAATAATTACAAACATGCAGTTTTAATAAAGAATGAATCGCACATGTAACAAAATTTGTAATCTTGAAAATTACGTAATATGTGCCGGATATAACTCATTTTTCATAAGATTTTACTATTACATGTAAGATTAATATAAGATTTTATTAATATGAGATTTTGATATTGTAAATATTATCTAATTTTCTAAATTAGAAATTTTGTTAATTGTGTTACTTTTGAATTTTTATTAAATAACACTTTTATAATTATTTATTAATAAAAAAAAGTTAATTTCTTTATTAAATAAGATATATGGAATAGGTGTAGTAGAAACGCAACAGAATGTATACATTAATATATAGTGTGAAAATTAATAAAGCCTCAACAATGATTGTGAACCGGAACCAAATCTCCATAAATGAGAAAAGATAGAGATAGTACAGAAGCTCTCCTCACAATTAAAATAGAAAAAACTTTCGTTGTTTGCACTCATTTATGTTTGCAATTTGGTCGTGGCCACGCGGTATTTTATTTCACTTAATTGAATATGTGACATTTTATTGAAATTTAGGATAATACCCCGACAGAATCATCCGATGATTCAAGTATTGACAAACATGTATCAAAACACGATATGTCAAAAACAAATATTTTGCACAAGCAGGAAGTGAAGAAATTAAAAGACGAGATTTTTCGACTTAAAAAAATTATAAAGTATTCGGAAGGTAAAAATATAATTTTACATATACATAAATACAACGAAATTTTTGAAAATATTTAAACATAACTGTCTACTACCACGTTTTTCTATTTTATTTATTTCCGGAACTCTCTCTAATATTATAGCCTATTATTGTTTTCGCGCATTGCTGTTCTCTGCGTTATTTATTTTTATTTTATGTATATATTTTATTTTACTGTATTTTTTTCTATATAATTTTACTTTTATTCTGTCTTTTATTCTGTCTGCTCTTTATGTGCCGATATATTTATACTGTCACTTATCATATGCCCCATAAATTCTCTGTAAATGGGCATCTATTTACGTAGAAATTCCTAAATAAATACATAAATAATAAATATTTTTTTCAGATATCCAACAAATAGACAAGTGCACTAAAAAAGTATTTTCTAAGTTGAAAGATATTGAAGAAAAATTGAAATATTTAGAAAAAGAAATCGATAAGAACACAAAGAATGTTATGGTAAGATAACTAATTTATAATCAATTTCAATTAGTTTTCATATTAATGTCAGAGGTTTTTATAAATATACACAAATATCTTGTATGTGATTACTAATTGTTAATTATAATTTAGTATCATTTTATATTATAGAGTTGGAGTACTATTAAATCAGTTCCAATATATAGTAATGATAAAATAAAAAATGAATCCGAAATAGTGGACACTGATCCATTGATGATTGATTCTAATTCGAAAAACAGTCCGAATGATGAATGCCTGAATGCGGATAAGGTACGAAGTATATATTTTTTTATTAGTTGCATATGTATAAATAATTATTCAATTATTATGTATTGAAAATAGGAAAACAAAACTTAAAGACAATTTGTATATGTGGAACAAATTAAACGAACAAAGTATATAGTTTATTTAACATTCATATAACTATCATGAAATTTTGTTAATTCTATAATCTGAGTAGATAACTGAAAGCGAGCAAGCTAGCTTAATTTTGAAATCTATTTTTGTAACATGTTGAAAAAAATATAAATAATATTTGATTCATAAATATAAAATACTAGCCAAAAATATAAGTAAACAATTTTATTTTTTTGTAATTGCCTAATTTTAATATAGGAGTTTTTGGCTGCTATAAATTCTGATGGGATTACCAATACTGAATATACGACTGATGATATAATAAAAAATGCTAAAATCGAATTTCGACCTTCACATCCATCTTCTGAAAATGTAAGTTTTATATAAATATGTCTATATTATATAGTGTACGTACGCACAAATGTCTATACTTAACTAAATTGCTATCATCAAGCTTTGGCTATGGAAAAACTGTGTCGGCCGACCTCTTTAAAAAATGACAGCGGTACGTGTGTATAGTGCGTATGTGATACTCGGTGGGTATGTGTGCGCATGTGTGTGTCGTGAGCGACCATTTCTTGAGGAAGTATACTGGCCGAACAATGGGCCAAACCAGGATATCCTGCCGACACATTTTTTTCACGAAGTTAGCGATCTAGTTAAGTATAGACATCTGTGTGTACGTGATTGTGCAATTTCGAATATTTTGACATTATAGAATTCTGTTATTATGTAAAATAAAATACATTTTTCAGGAAAACATTGTTTTTAATGAAAATGGTCTTCTTAAAGACAGTAATAAAGAAAATAAAGAAAATTCGACATTAGAAAAGGTGAATTAATTATTCATAATTGATAATATAATGACTTTACATATACGCACTGCTGTAAGAAATGATTGTTATTCGAAAACATTTTTCAGGTGATATCTGGAGGGAGATATTTTGAACTCAAGCACATCACGAATACTCAACTGAGCAAGGTCAATGACAGCAGTATATCGAAGCTAACATGTGACCTTCTCAGTTTAGTTTATGAAAAAACGGAGTTAAGAAATTCTAGTTTGACTGGATCCATAGCCAATGCTAATAAATCCTCAAATCTGGATAAAAAATCGACTGAGAAATTAGACCCTGTTCGACTAAAAGCTGTAGAAAGTAAAAAATTTGTCAATTTAATATAATTTGTGAATATAAAATACATAATATATATTTAAAATCGAGCATAAATGTCTGAATTATGCTATTCAAAAGTATATATATGTATATAATTAAATTTGGTATATAGAAAGAGGATTTTTCATTCTATTGTCCTTTTTTTTAGATTTTATTTATGAGAAATTCGGCAAGACAGACGACAATACGAAATTATTCCGTAGTGCTGTCCGAAGCAAGTGCAACAATGCCAAAAAAAAAGTGCCGGTTAAAATATAAGATCGGTTTGACTACTAATTATCAATTCAAGTAATAGTTAAACAAATTCTGAAGAATTATAAAAGCGATCAGTATTAATACAAATAAGATTTATTGTTTAAAAAACTAGATTTTAGAATTTGTTTTAAATAACTGTGCAATAAGAAATAAGTAATTATATTTTGATCAGTTTTTTTTTAAATAAGATGTTTTATTTCAAGCAGATAATAATAGTATATAAACAGTTTCTTTTATATAGATAAATTTGTTTATACATATAAAGTTACATCTTAATAAGTGTATTATTATATATAAAATAAACAAAATTCAATATATTACATTTGTTATTTATATGATATATATAATATAAAATTATGGAAAAAATCACTTATTTAAAAATTGTAATAAAATTTGTACATTCAATTTATTTAAAGTTAATCAATTGGATCGATTATACATATATTCAGACATTTTTATAAAACAGGATAAATTAACTGTAATATATACGTATATATATACATATATATATATAGGAAAATAATCTGTAGTGTATAATTATAATACATTTAAGAAAAATATATATAAACATATATTTTTCTATGTATTATATGTATTAAAATTATACACTACAGATTATTTTCCTATAATTCCACAGTAATATTACAGGCTATTATTATCCTATAATATCGGCATGATATTACAAGCTATTTTCCTGTAATATTTTCCTGTAATCCGAGCGTATAGTACGAAAATATTACAGTATATTACAATACTTCAGTTTGTAATTTCGTGTAATACTTTTATGTAGTTTCTGTAATATAATTTTTTGTAATCCGCTGTAGTTTCTTTCCGTAAGGGTAATCCTGCCGCACCCCTTGATAAGATGTGAAAAGGGGAAGAAGGGGCGCAAGCCAGTGACAACGGCGGAGATTGACGACGACAACGACCGTGCCAGTCTTGAAACGGTGCGAGCGCAAAGGCGCATCATACAGGCGGCTAAAAGAGACGCGGCAACCGTGGGGGAGCGGTTGAGGGCGATGTCACGCGGAGCGAGCATTTAGCTCAACATGTATATACGTTAAAAAAAAAAAAAATCACTTAGGATTAAGGTTAAGTGTTAAGAAATATACGTAGATGAGATTATGCGCTGTTACGATCTAGTATACCATTCTGATTTGCGTTACACAATTGAAAGAGTTTATTTTATTAGAAATATAAAAATGAGTTTCCTTTTCGTTTACCTGATTATATATAGTTTCTTGCGTTATGTTGATTTGAATTATGGGAATAACAGAATTTATTTAGATATTATTACGCCCGTGCTGGACACTGAGTAGAGAAGTCGCGGAAAGCTGTGAAGCGCGCTCCTTGACAACGGGAGTTTGTTGATGGATTTATTGATTTTCTGTCTGGCGGATTTTTGGAATCCGCACGCGTTCTGCTTTACGAGCTTGGAATAAACGTATTTCTTGAGTTCTTTTGAGTTCTCTTTCCTTTCGCGAGTTCTGCGATATACGTGCGCGAGTGTGGAGTGCGCGATAGTGTTACGGCGGCGAGCTTACTCGACGAGCGTAACATTTTGGGGGCTCGTCCGGGATACGAGGCGACGAACGCAGTATCCCGAACAGGATGACGACCACGCACACCCCGTCGAGGACCCGTTCGCAGGCCGCGGCGTCGGCAACAACGGAGGCGGGCGCGACCCATCCGCAGGATGCGGGGGCGACGGAGGCAGAGGCGGGCGCTTTCGAAGCTGTCTACTTGGAGCTTCAAAAGCTGCGCCAGGAGCGGCGGCTGGAGCAGCAGGAGCAGCAGCTTTTCCGCAGCGAGTTGGAGGCTCGCCTGAAGGAACGCGACGCTGCGGTGGCACGTCTTCAGGAGCAACTTGCCGTACATCAGCTAAGTCCCTCCAATAATGTTTCTCGCGGCGAAATTCCGAATGAAGAGATGCGTGAGATAGGTGCGGGTGAGGGCGCGTGTGCGGGACGCGCCGCGTGCGGAAATTCGGTCGAGTCGCTGTGTGTGATGGGCACGGGCGAGGGCTCGTGTGCGGGGCGCACCGCGTGTGGAGGTTTGAGTGAGACGTCGCTCGGTTATAAATTAAAGCCCGACACGTTCGACGGGAGTGTTCCTTTGCGCGAATATTTAGCACAGTTCAATTTAATTGCGCAAGCGAATGGCTGGGAGGAATCTTCGAGAACCGTGGCTTTAGCCTCGAGCTTAAGAGGAAAAGCGCGTGCCGTATTGGATGGGGTAACCGAATTCGGGAGCCTTCGCTATTCTGAATTAGAGGCTAGGTTAGAGTTGCGTTTTGGCGAAGCGCATATGTCTCAAACATTTTACACTCAGTTCACTAATCGGAGACAAAAACCCGGAGAAGATCTGCCCGTTTTGGGAGCGGATTTAGAACGTTTAGCGCGTTTGGCCTATTCGGAATGCTCGGCCAAGGTGCGGGATAAGATTGCGTGCGCCCAGTTCGTTGCGGCGCTTTCTGACGGTTTCGTAAAACGAACTCTTCAGTTAGAGGGATTAACTTCCTTGAGAGCCGCCATAGAGAGGGCCATGGCAATAAAAGTCATCCAAGCGAATAGTCTTTCGCGGAAATTTGAAAGTAGAGATCTCGGAAAAGGCAGAGCTGGGAACGAAATTAAATCGGCGGGGAATGAGAAAGATGAAAAGAGTTCTGTAAATTTTAAGAAGAATTCGGGTTTCAGGACGAGATTCGGGCGTGAGGAAAAGGAGTGCTGGCAGTGCGGTGCCAAAGGGCACTTTCGGTCGGAGTGCCCTTCTCTAACTACGGAAGAGAAGGGAAACTCGGAATAGCCGAACTCAGCGGGGCATGTTCGGCTCAGGGGTGCAAAGGCCCTGCGAAATTAAGTAGGATAAGTAGCGGGTTAAGTGATTTTTGTTTTCGCGGCCGAGTTAATGGCCGGACTTGCGTTTTTAGAATAGATACGGGCTCCGATGTGTCGGTACTTAGGGAAGATTTGTTAGGTCCTTTGAAATCACCCACTCCTGTAGAGAGATATTTCTTGACCTATCCAACGGGAGAAACGGTTCCTGTAAAACATAGAGTGGTGGTTGAAATCGAAATAGGGAAATTTTCTTTGGATTTTCCGGTAATCATAGCGGCCATAAAAGACGATGTATTCTAGGAGCGGACTTTCTTTCAAAAATAAGGGTAGGAAGCGTTTTCTCTTCGGTTTTTGAGGAAACGGTGTCAGAGAGTCAAGAAAACTTTTTCTGTTCCCGAATTTGTAGTTTTGATAGGGGGATTCCTTTTTTTCTTAAAGAATTCTTTGAGAAAAATTCCGAAACTCTCAACGCTTCTCAAAAACAGCAGTTTGCTGAATTGGTGATCGAGTTTTAAGATGTCTTTTCGGAAGATGTAGTTGCAGGAAATTGCTCCGTCGTTGAGCATGCTATTAGGGTGAAAAATTCTTCTCCGATTAAACAGGCTCCTAGGCGAATTCCACTGCATATGCGAGAAGAAGTGGAAAAGATTTTAAACGAAATGAAACAACGTGGTGTCATCGAAGAATCTCATAGCGCCTGGGTTTCTCCAGCTGTTTTAGTTAAAAAGAAAGATGGAACGATTAGATTCTGTATCGATTTCAGGAAGCTCAATGCCATTCAGAAAAAGATTCTTATCCTATTCCCAGGATAGATGATCTTTTTGATCGTTTATCCGGAAATTCCTGGTTCACCAAGATTTAAAAATCGGCTTAGATTTAAAAAGCGGCTATTGGCAGGTGAAGCTTCGTCCTCAGGGTAGGGAGAAAACGGCCTTCTCTATAGGAAATGGCTTATGGCAGTTTACTGTAATGCCATTTGGATTATGTAATGCTCCTGCTACTTTTGAGCGATTGATGGAGCAGGTTCTTCGTGAGATATTGAATAAGATCTGTATGGTTTATTTGGATGATGTCATCATCTATAGTAAAACTTTCGAGGGAATGCTGGCAAATTTAAGGAAAATATTTCTTCGTTTACGGGGTGCAATTTAAAACTCAATCCAAAAAAATGTACTTTCTTCGGGAGAGAAGTAAAATACTTAGGCCATGTCGTTTCAGAAAGAGGAATCTCCACTGATCCGGAGAAAATTAAGACCGTTCAAGAGTGGCCTATTCCTCAAAATAAGAAGCAAGTGCGAAGTTTCTTGGGACTCTGCTCTTATTATAGGAAATTTGTGAAGGGATCTTCTCTTTGCTAAGCCATTATTTTCTTTAACTGAAAATCTTAGAAAATTTGTGTGGGATGGGCGTTGTCAGGAAGCTTTTGAGAAGCTTAAACAAAACTTAATTTCTCCTCCTATTTTAGCTTTCCCAATAGAAAAAGGGGAATTTATTCTTGATACTGACGCTTCAAATCACGGCTTGGGCGCGGTACTTTCTCAGATTCAGGATGGTAGGGAGAGGGTCTTAGCTTATTATAGTCGGGTTTTGAGCAAGTCTGAAAGGAACTATTGCGTAACTCGTCGGGAGCTGTTAGCTTTGGTGGAGGCTTTAATAAAGACCTTCCATCACTATTTATATGGACGTGAATTCTCGGTAAGAACGGATCATATTTCGTTACGCTGGTTGATGTCTTTTAAGAATCTAGAAGGGCAGTTAGCACGTTGGATGGAACGCCTACAACAATTTAATTTCGTAGTCAAGCACCGAGCAGGAAAGGTGCACGCAAACGCTGACGCGTTGTCTAGGCGTCCATGTGCGGAAGGAAACTGCAGATATTGTGATAAAGTGGATATGGGGGAAGAAAGTATTGTAAGGGGAGATGTTAGAAGAATAATCTTCAAAGAAATTGAATCTGCGAACTGGAAAAGAATGCAATTGGAGGACCCTTTAATTGTAGGAATTTATCGTGGAAAAGAGGAGAATAGGCGACCTCTTCGTCAAGAAATAGCTCAGAGAGATTCGACTGCTAAGGACTATTGGCTCCAATGGGATTCCCTGGTGATTAAAGACGGGATTTTGTGTAGGAAATGGGAGTCTCCAAATTTATGTTTCGTTGTTTTTCAA